AAGTAATGGTTTGTGATCCGTTTGAAGGATAAATTGTCTTCCGAAAATCATTCTATGAAATTTTGTGACTGCGAAAATGATTGCTAATGCCTCTTTTTCAATTTGACTGTATTTACGTTCTGCTTCAGTGAGACTCCTTGAGGCGTGACTGATTGCCTTGATCGAATGATCTGGAAATCTATGAAGAATGCATGCTCCTAATTCTTCATTTGAAGCATCTGCTGCTACAATAATCTCATTCTGAGGATTGTAGTGAGTTAATAAGAACTTTGAAGAAAGAATTCTCTTAAATTGATTAAAAGATTCTTGACATTTTGGAGACCAGTTCCATTTAGAATCCTTTTTTAAAAGATTATCCAAAGGACGTCTAAGAATGTGCATATTTGAAATGAAACGTGCATAATAATTGATTGCTCCTAAAAACGAACGTAATGTAGTTAAATTATGTGGTTCAGGCATGTTTTTAATTGCTTCGACTTTTGTAGGATCTGGATGTAATTCTTATCCATCGATGACATAACCGAGATAATGGATCTGTGTAGTAAGGAAACTACATTTCTCTAATTGCAGGTGTAGACCATAATCCTTTATTCTCTCTAATAAACGAGTTAGGCTTTGATTATGTTCTTGAACTGTAGCTCCACCAACAACAATATCATCTATATAAGCAAAAACGTTTTCTAGTCCAGATATCATTGAATCCATGATTGATTGGAATTCACCTGAAGCTGTGGTGACTCCAAAAGGTAAACGATTATAAACGTATAAACCTCTGTGAGTATTGATTGTTAGAAGATGCTTTGATTGTTCATCTATTTCAATTTGAAGAAATGCGTCTGACAAATCTAACTGGCTGAAATACTTACAGTTTGACAGTTGCGAAAATATTTCATCTGGTAATGGAAGTGGATGACGATTAGGTTCCAATGATTCGTTAAGTCCAGTTGAGAAATCCGGACAGATCCTAATCTTTCCATTTTTTTTTCTTACAACTATTGGAGTTGCCCAGTCTGAATACTTGATTGGCGAAATGATTCCATTTTGTTCCAGTCTTGGAAGCTCTGCGTCGACTACAGGTAGAATTGCGTAAGCAACAGGTCTTTTAGGTCTGAAAATAGGCTTTGAATTATTTTTCAAATTCAGTTTGACTTTAGTTTTCGTGCAGCGACCTAATTGAGAGGAAAAGACCTCTTTGAAATTTTCTTTAACGAAGGATATATCAAAGTGCATCGGATCTGCTTGAGAATGGATCTTGGAACAGAAGCTATTGAGACTGCATTGCCATAAATCAAAAGCTGCGATCCAATCGAGACCCATGATGTTGAGATCCGAATTTGCTGTTACGAAACATCGTAGTTGTTTGATAACTCCGTTCAAGGTTACTTCACAATTAATTTCTTGATTGAAATTGATCTGATTTCCCGACGCGTCACGTGCGACATGAGACGTTGAACAACCCTTAGGCTTTCCTAACAAAGACCAAATCATTTCTAATATAATGGTAATATCTGATCCCGTATCAAGTTGCAGTTTAATTGGTTGATTATTTATCGAAATATTCACAAATTTGCGAGTAAGATTTGAATTAACTTGATTGACCTTAATCGTCTTGACGTTTTAATTTGCCGTTTCGTTATTTGTTTTCGTTTTGACTCTCTGAGTTGAAGCGCAATATCCGTCTTTGTGACCGACAGTATTACATTTTTGACATTTATGATTTTTGAAAGTACAAAACTTAGAATAATGTAATTGTCCGCAAAACCAACACGGTGTTGAAGGCATTGAATCTTTGTTAGGTAAAGAATTTTTGATTTGTTTCTTACCTTGTCGATTCTTTGATTTATTTGTGTTTTTCACCTGTGGTTTGCGTTGTTGATCGGTTTTGACTATCACCACTGCTTTTGACTCAGACGATCCCTGGTTTTGTATCAAGGATGTGTCCTGTTTGAGATTTGTGAGTCGCTGACATTCCATTGCGAGATCATCAATTGTAAGTGTATCTGACCTTGTATCAATTAAATTGAGAAGTTTAGTTCGAATATCGGCTTCAGTAGGCGATTTTAAACCGCATGCAAAAATAAGACATTTAATTTGATCGGCAGTAATTGTAGTAAATTTTGATTCTTCGCAACGTTTATTGACTAGCGCTGCATAAGAAATGAAATCTTGATTTGCTGATTTCGTCGTATTCATGCAATTATAACGCTGGTGAAAGAGAGAAATTTTTTTTCCGAATAACCGTGTGAGTTTGTTTACTGTAGTTTTGAAATCAAAGTCTTTATATTCTTTCGGCAGTATATAATCAACGTACTGTTTATGTGAGATTGTATTCATTTTACGTAATAAAAGTCTGACCTTGGATTCGTTGTCTAATTCCCGCACGTCGACTTAGAATAGACTTTGATAGCGTACATACCATGCATCGAAAGTCAAATTATTTTCTGGATCGTAAATGAATTCAGACATGGAATTTGCCAGTGATTCCATTTTTGTATCTCTCCTTGTAGAATCCGTTGAATTCGCCTACATCGATGACATGTGATTCATAAAATCTTGTTGCTGCTTAATTTGCTGCTGCATGAGTGCTTGTTGCTGCTGCTGCTGCTGCTGCATTAGTGACATGAGTACTTCTTTGAACTCCATAATCCTCGTCGCCAATTGTTGTGTTTTTCACAATACTTGATTTTAAATTGAAATTGAGTATAAGCACGAATACGAGAATATTAGAAAATGCCGATCTATATATGCGAGTGTCTCTATTGAATGTCTGTATACAACTGCCTGTGTCGACCTTTTGCCGGTCGACAACTCAGATCGTTACCGAGCCGCTATTGTGTGTCGCTTATTACATAGGCGTAGGTAACAATAAATATTAATGTTAGCATCACAATTAATATTCACCAGTCATAATTAATATTTATTGTATAAATATTAATAGTATATACACAGTATTACTATTCATTAGTATTAATATTTACAAGATACAACTGGTATATAAATCTTACCAGAAAATTCTGGCGAATAATGCAATGCTCTCTCTTTTCTTAGGCACCTCCACTGTCCTTTTAACATTCCAATAGTTCGTTCTATACTTGACCGAGCAATTACATGAGAATTAGTATAACGAGCTGAAGGTGATCCTACTGGTTGCCTTAGTTTTGGTGTTAATAAGTATGGCAGCAAAGGATATCCGGAATCTCCTATAATATCAAATTTTTTTTTACATCAATAATTTGAATAGTATATCATGCTATAAACAGTATAAATATCTATGACATTTTTATGTATATATTATGTAATATTTTTAGTAATAAAAATACTGACAATGATGTAATACCTAATAGCCAAGTATTTATTCGTCCATCCTGAAATTGCTGTTCTAAATGCACTGAAAGGATAGAACCATTCCAGACACGTGCATCGTGAGTTCTTCCTCTATGTCCACTATTTACGAATAGTATCTTTCCATTAAAATCACTAACCTTAAAAATTAAAAATAATTTTCTAATAATAATAATTATTCTTTACATAATATTAGTCAAAGTTTTAAGTTTTACTTATTTTAGATAATACTTACTACCAAAACATTTAATGAGTGATATAACTTTCGATTTATATAGGTACAAATGCTCCCGCTCTTTATTTGGAGGCCAAATTGCTACATGGGTACCATCGACAGCGCCTATTGTACCCGGAAATCGACAATGAATCCAAAACCTGTATAATAATATGTAATAGCATTAAAAACGATAAATACGTATAAAATTATTTACTTATAATCATATACAAGTATACATATCAAATATCATGTACAAGTATTACATGTGTATATGCTTAGGGTGTATATCAATTATACACGAGCTAGTTGCGCACAAGCCAATCACAACGCTAGAAAAAATATTCAAAAAAATTCTCTACGCAGAAGTTGCTGTGACAGGCAGTGGGCAATAGCTACAGTGTGCAAGTGAACTCCCTATGCTTATAATAAATAATATATGTAAAATGCTATACTGTTGTTTAACGAGCTCAATATCAAAATGCTCTGTTGGGAATTTAATCCAATCTTGCATAATTGCGTTAAGTGCTTCTACGACAGTATGGATTGCTCCAGACAGTGATGCTTGACACATACATGATAAAAAATCTTGGCCAATACGACGTTGGTATGAACCAGAAGCCAACAAACTCAAAGTTGCTAAAATCTTTGTATAACACAAAATATTAATTACCTTGTACATTACAAATTTATTATTAACTATATTATTAAATATTTATTATATTTATTATTAATATTTATTTATTAAATGTTTGTTTTTTATTTTCTATCTTTTTTAGATATAAATGCATTTAGGTATGCAATTATTTGTTCGCATATTTTGTTGAAGTTTGTTTACTTCAACGACTATGTTGAAATGAGTAGGAACTGTGGTAGGAATATGAACATATAACGCGAACAAATCCTAATGGCTCCGGCATACTAGACGCGGAAACGCTTGCTGCGCGGCAAAATGCGACGCGGTGACCAATGAACATGGTAGGAGTTGTAAGCTTATTGGATACCGCGTCACATTTTGCCACGCGGCAAGCGTTTCTTCTTCCAGTGTGTGGGAACATATATTTAGATATACATTTTTCTATGTTTTTATTATTTTTTTTGTTATAGATGATGTTACCTTTATCTCTGAGGGAATTGCTGTCAATTTCCTTCCTTGAGGCATATATGGCATTAAATTTAAACATAATTGCATTACCGCTTCCCTAGACAATCTACAAATACATTTGGGGATAATTATTATTATATTCAACAGTTAAACATTAATGAGTATAATAACATATTATAACATTTAGATTAAAAATCAGTAGTGTTTGCTAGGACTATACCTATATATTTCTCGAAATCTTTTTTCCGGAATATTGAAAGGATTTTGCGTGTCCCGTAAAATTTTTCTAATAATACGTAATCCGTTATTTCTATTTCTTCTATCTTCATATTGATTAATTACAAACCATGCAGCAGCCATTTTAGTAGAGGTGGTAGGCCGGTTCAAAGCCATGGGGCTCCGAGGGGGGGTGAGGGGCGAGGGGAACCCGAGGCGCGGGGAGGTCTACGTCACGGCAGGGGAGGGGGATGACG